ATGGCATGAGAAATTGCCATTTACCCTTTATACTTATTAAATATCAATACGTACCTCTACTAGGATAAACCCAATTTCTTTGATTTATGGGATGGAAGGCTTACTGTCGGTGGAAGTAAAAATTTTATCCTTAAAAGTTTTAAAAGAAGTGAGATTGAAAGAGGCTGAATGAATTCGAGAGCATTACGAGTAGTTGAATTTCATTGAAAAAAAGAGATTGACAACGCTGTGTCATGGTCGACCATATTAAAGAAGAATAATGAGAGCTCATGATAAAAAGATCCAACCTTATTATTTTCGAAAAGGAGAGTTGGTTTTGAAAAGAATTCTTTCAAGCTACCATGATAATAGAAGAAAGTCAACTCCAAATTGAGAAGGGCCATATGTTATGAAAAGAGCTTTCTCGGGTAGAGCATTAGTATTAGCAGAGATAGATGGAGATGATTTTGTTCAATCCAATAAATTATGATGCTGTGAAAAAATACTACACTTAAAAAAGAAAAAAATGAAGAAAGAGAAATATAAAAATGGAAAAAAAAAGGACTGAAATTGAAAACCTTAAAGGGCAGTTTAAGTCAAAGGAGGTCTATTTAAGTTGAAAACCTAAAAAAGTGGCTTAGACGAGAAGGGTACAACATCAAATTTAAGAATTCACTAGCATAGAGGCTAGCATGTTTTGATGAGCTCTAAGTTGTTACGTGCATCAGATGGTTAAGTTTTTTGAAAAAACTTGAAAATGTATTATCATGATTATTTAATTGTTTATTTTGGGCGTTGTTGCCCTATACCCATTTTGTAACCAATCTTTTTTATTAATGGCCAAAGTTGTTCTACCATTTTTTTAAGAGATATTTCATTTCTTTCCTTGTGTCTCTCTTTTGATGATTATCTTTCATTTATTCTTAATCTATCCCTTAGCTTTTCCCTTGATACCTTGCAGTGAAAAAAATGTGTGATTATATTTTTACTTTTTGAAATTGAAATAATGATTGATAAATGAATAATAGTATGAAAGATTTCTATATTACCTTAGAAGGTTGAGAGTGATAAAGGTAAATACGAAATGTTCAATTCTTAATAGGGATATTGAATATGGAGAAAAAAGATTTCTTTAAAAAAAATAAGAAGAATATAAGAATTGAATGAGAGGGATGATCGAGAATTAAATTAATTTGGTCTTAGTGCTTAAAGATTGAAAAGTTCAAATCCAAAAAGAAGAGAATTGAGAATCTATGTACCATAATTAAAAAGAAATTAATCAATTGACATTTGCATAATATGCATTGTATTTAAGAATGTCTAATGCATGAATTTAGGAAGCAGGGATATTGCAAGATCTCACATGAAGAAGATATATATGAAAACTTTCCAATGAAATAATTTTAAATTCTCATTTGAAAAAAAAAAGACTTACGAGGTAAAATTCTGATCTTTGAAAAAAGGATATTTCTCAATATTAAGAATGATTTGTAAGGCTTCCAAACATAATCTCCTATTATTTATTCTATTGATCTATAAGACCTTTAAACATGATTATTGAAGAGCCTTATTTATTTTTTAAAAATTGTTGGGCCTCTGTTTGGAAGAGTATTATTTTTCAAAGTCATTGAACCTCTGTTTAGAATAGCCTTGTTTATTTTTCAAAGTTGTTGAGCCTTTGTTTAGAGGAGCCTTATTTATTTTTCAAAGTTGTTGAGCTTCTGTTTAGAGGAGCCTTATTTATATTTTAAAGTTGTTGAGCCTCTGCTTAGAGAAACTTTATTTATTTTTCTAAAGTCGTTGAGCCTCTATTTAGATGAGCTTTATTTTTTAAAATCGTTAAACCTCTGCTTAGAGGAGTTTTATTTATTTTTCTAAATTCGTTAAGCCTCTATTTAGAAGAGCTTTATTTTTTAAAATCGTTAAGCCTTTGTTTAAAGGAGTTTTATTTATTTTTCTAAAGTCGTTAAGCTTTTGTTTAGAGGAGCTTTATTTTTTAAAGTCATTCAACCCTGCTTAGAGGAGCTTTATTTATTTTTCTAAAGTCGTTGAGCCTTTGTTTAGAAGAGCTTTATTTTTCAAAGTCATTGAACTTCTGTTTAGAAGAGTCTTATTTATTTTTCAAAGTTGTTGAGCCTCTGTTTAGAGGAGCCTTATTTATTTTTCAAAGTCGTTAAACCTCTGCTTAGAGGAGCTTTATTTATTTTTCTAAAGTCATTGAGCCTTTGTTTAGAGGAGATTTATTTTTAAAAGTCGTTATGCATCTACTTAGAGGAGCTTTATTTAATTTTTTAAAGTTATTAAACCTCTATTTAGAGGAGCCTTATTTACTTTTCCAAAGTCGTTAAGCCTCCACTTGATGGGCTTTATTTATTTTTCTAAAGTCATTGAGCCTCTATTGAAAGGAGCTATATTTACTATTCCAAAGTCATTGAGCTTCTGTTAAGAAAAGCTTTTCTGTTCTTCAAAGTGTTAAACCTTTATTTAGAGGAATTTTTATGTTATTCAAGAAGTTTGAATCTGCTTAAAAAAAAAAAAGAGAAAAAAGTGTCAAGTTGATTTCTAATTAGGTGTCTACGTTTTTGCAAAATTCTTGTTTCACAAAAAGCACATAAATAGGGGCAACTGTAGATGTTCCAATTTGTATGGTGTTCTAATTGTTTTTTTTAATAAAAATAAAAATAAAAAATAAACAAAAAAGGAAAAATCAATAGTTTGAGTTTGTGTGAAACTTGTTTGTTTGGATTGAAGAGTTTGAATTGGACTGAAAAGTTTGAATTAGACTTAAATTTTGGAGTTAAAATTTAAAAGAAATTAAAACTCTTTTTGGTTTAAGTTTCTTTGGATTTAAACTCTATAAATATAGACCCACACCAAGCAACAAAACACAGATTAGAGAAAAACACAAGAAAGTAGCCAGAAAATAAAAAAAAAAATTTAGGAAAATTTTTGGTTTGAAAAAAAAATTTACAGTTTTCTGGAAATTTTCCAGAAAATTTTCATATCCCGAAATAATTTTTTTGCAAAACTTGCACTTTCTGGCAAAATTCTTTAGATTCCAATGCATTTCCCCAGTTTTCGATGAGTATTCTGGTGAAACTTGAAGTTTCCGTCACCATTTTCTAGATTGGTTGAATTTTTCGACCGACATTTAACCAATTCTAGAGAAAGGTTAGAGAAGCAATTGGCTAGGAAAGACAAAGAGGAAAAATGGGGTAAAATTTTTTTTTACCTTTTATATTCAAGCTTAAACGACAACGTTTTGAGGTTAAGCAGTCCCAAGAATCCACGCGTTTTCCAGTGGGTGACCCAACCCATAGCGTTGTGACCCACGACCTGCTCTTTAGCTGCAGCCAAGCCAAGTCGTGAGTCAAGCCGTTTCAACCGCTCTCCCTTTTTACAATCGAGCCAGTTCTCTAGTCAAGCCGAGTTGCTTTCCTGTTTTTGTATTTTATTTTATTTTATTAATTTTAAGTTATTTTTGCATGATTAAATTTTAGAAAAAAATTAAATAAATTAAATAAAAAACAAAAATAAAACATTAATAAAATTTTTTGAGAATAAATAATAATTATCTAATGATGGAATTTCTAGAAATTTTAAAAGGTTAATTTCTATAAAATTTTTATGTGAGAAATTTTTCTAAATTTATCTCAAATAGTGAAATAATTTAGATAAAATTTTAATAATAATAATTAATATTTATTTTCAATTTTAAAAAATAAAAATTTTAATAAAAATTTTAGAAATAAATACTAATTACTTAATGATAAGATTCTTAAAAATTTCAAATGACAAAATTCTTAAGAAATCTCTAGGTGAGAAATTTCTCTAAATTTATCTCAAATAATGAAATAATTTAGATGAAATTTTAATAAAAATAATTGTATTATTTTCAAATAAAAAAATATAATTTAAAAATTTTTGGTTAAAAATATTTGACAATTATCAAAGGATGGAAATCTTAAAAATTTCATATAGTAAATTTTATAATAAATTTTTAGGTGAGAAATTTCTTAAAAGTTTGTTCTGAATAGTGAAAGAATTTAAATAAAACTTCAACAAATAATTGTCATATTATTTTTTTCCAAAGATAAGATAAAAAAATTTTAAATAGACCAAATAGTGAAAATTTAGAAATTAAAAAAAAATTTTAAATAGGCCCATATAGTGAAAAATTTAGAAATGAAAATAAAAAATAAAAATAAATTCTAATAATGAAATTCTTAATAATCGCAAATGGATAATTATATAAGAAATTTTTAGGCGAGAAGATATTTCTAATATGGCTCAAATGATTGAAGAATTAGATATATTTTCAGTAAAAAAATCAAAATAAAAAATGATTACAACCTTTTTTTTACAACGGAACCTTTCAAGAAAATAAATGAGATTTTTGAATACTTTTGTAGTGAGAAAATATTTTTAAAAATGCTACCAAATTGATAGAGAAATCTCAAGAATTATTTCCAATATTAAATTTAAGACCAATAGATTCAAAACCTTAGGATAATTTAAAATAAAATGATACTATCTTTCGGATAAGTATGTGGGGGTGTTATAACCTTCTTCATATGTAATTGAACTTTAAATCCTATTCTGATTAGTAAACCAGAACTTATTTTTTTAAGGACCCTTAGTCAAGCTTAAGAGTTTCTTAAAATAATAGATTTATTAGGTAGCCAATCACACCTATTTAAAAAGATTAGTAGCTACTCCTTAAGTTGTGTCTAGTTATAGATTTACAGATATATATGTTATGGCAAAAAGTAGTCATTGACAAGCAATAATTACACATGAAAGGAATAAGAGACTCTCCAATTAAGTGGGGACTGAGAATGCTAATTATTCAGGGGTACTTTTTCAGCTGATCAAATTTGCGTAAGTTGTTTATATATAGTTAGAGCTTTAGCCTTCATTTCTCTTCATCGTTCTCTTTGTAGTATTTTTTCATAGGAGAAAACCCCAAGGATAGGAGCTTGAAGTTGAAGAAATTTAAGCAGTCTTTGCTTTGATGATCCATGGAGAACAAGGGGGACAAAACTACTGAATTATCTGATGGTCATGAGCCTGAAGCCATCAACTACAGAGGAATTAAAGCCATGCCTTTCATCATTGGTAAGATTTCCAAATGAAATTAAAATTTTACATGTTTGATTCGATCTTCTCTAATATATATTGTGATCAAATATACAGGAAATGAGACCTTCGAGAAGATTGGCACCATGGGGACTATATCAAACTTGCTGGTGTATCTAACGAGTGTGTTCAACATGAAGAGCATCACGGCTGCAACGCTTATCAATGTCTTCCAGGGCACCTCAAACATGGCTCCTTTGCTTGGTGCTTTCCTCTCTGACACTTACTTTGGACGTTACAAAACCCTGGCCTTTGCTTCCACTGCCTCTTTCTTGGTACTTCCATTGCCTCTTTCTTTAATCATAGTACATCGAATTATTGTCCTTTTCTGCTAGACCATTTTCAAAGTAAGAAAACTTTTTTTTTGTGTGTTGTTCTTTCAAGGGAATGGCTGTTTTAACACTAACAGCGGCAATCTCCAAATTCCACCCTCCGAAATGTTCAACGTCAGATATCAGCACATGTGTTGGACCAACAACCTGGGAATTAGCCTTCCTATTAAGTGGTTTCGGCTTCTTAGTCATTGGAGCTGGAGGCATCAGGCCTTGTAACTTGGCCTTCGGAGCAGACCAGTTTAATCCTGCTACCGAATCCGGTCAGAAAGGTATCAACAGTTTTTTCAATTGGTACTACTTCACCTTCACATTTGCTGTCATGGTATCTGCAACTCTTATTGTCTACATTCAAACAAGTGTGAGTTGGGCAATTGGGCTAGGAATTCCTGCAGGCTTAATGTTCTTTTCGTGTATGCTATTCTTCTTGGGATCAAGCCTTTATGTCAAAGTGAAACCTGAGGGTAGCCCTTTAACTAGTGTGGCACAAGTTCTAGTTGCTGCCACAAAGAAGCGAAAGTTGAAGCTGCCTGATGAACCCAGCCTCTCCCTTTTTAACTATATGCCATACAATTCAATCAACTCCAAGCTTCCCCACACCGATCAATTCAGGTGATAACTTAATTTGTTTGGACATGAATATGTTTTAGAAAACGAGTGTTTTTAGGCCCAAGATATATGATTTATTAATTCAAACCTGAAAGCCTACTAATGGTAACATTTAACTCTATGATGGTGACAACAGATTGCTTGACAAGTCAGCGATAATGATTCCTGGGGACCAAATAAATTCCGATGGGGCAGCAGTCAACCAATGGAAACTTTGCAGCATCCAACAAGTGGAAGAAGTAAAATGTTTGGTGAGAGTGATGCCAATATGGGCATCATCCATTATTTTTCTTACTGCTATTATCCAACAAGACACCTATGCAGTTTTCCAAGCACTTCAATCTGACAGAAGGCTCGGCAATGGCGGCTTCACGGTACCTGCTGCATCTTACGCAATCTTTGCAATGCTAAGCCTCACATTGTCGATTCCTATATATGACCGTCTGATGGTTCCTTCTCTTCGGAAACTCACTGGCAAACAAGGTGGGATAACATTGCTACAAAGAATGGGAATTGGGAATCTTTTATCACTTATCACAATGCTCGTCTCTGGTTTAGTTGAGGAGCATAGGAGGAATCTGGCTCTTACTAGGCCAACACTTGGAATTGCGCCAAAAGGGGGTGCAATATCATCTATGTCTGCATTGTGGCTAGTCCCTCAGCTGCTTCTCACAGGAATTTGTCAGTGTTTCGGTTGCATTGGTCATATTGAATTTTACTACAAGCAATTCCCTGAGAACATGAGAAGCATTGCTGGTTCTTTCTTCTTCTTAGGCCTTGCCGGGTCTAGTTACCTAAATGGCTTTCTTGTGTCCTTTATGCACCATATCACTGCAAGAACCAAAGCTGGGGACTGGTTACCTGAAGATCTTAACAAAGGGAAATTGGATTACTACTATTTCTTGATTGCTTCTTTAGGGTTCATCAACTTTATTTACTTCTTAGTCTGTGCAAAGTGGTACAGATACAAAGCTGATGATGGAAAAAAGCAGACCGAAAAAATTATTGTCTGAAAAGACAAGATTTTACTGCCTTTATGTTGATCATCAATAAGAAATAAGCAAAAGAAGGTGCAGTTATATAATATTAAATACCGTCCTGTCTGCAGTGTAATATCTGATCTGTTGTATTCTGAATTAATTATATCAAGAAGTCTAAGAATAAATTTCTCTTACGAAATTTGTATCTGATAATTTTATTGCATTTTCTATTTATTTATCGATGCAATTTGCATATTATAATATTAGACTAATGAATATTTGAATATTGAATTTCGTTTTTCCCCTCCGCTTGACTCTCCTGAGGATGCACTTTTGTTATTTCTCGATGACCCTAGCGAGCGACTACGCGAGACTACATCCATATCTCGCCAACTAGCTATAGAATATATTGCGTTGGATCCAAATGAATTTATTTTAGTACAATAGATTCTATAGGCTTTTCCCATGCCCTTCCGGAAGAAGCATTCTGAATCAATTATATCAATAAGTCTAAGAATAAATTTTAACTTCTGTGACAGAGCAGAATCTGGCATTTACATCAATTTCTTCCTTCCTGAAACTCAAATTTCTGGGGATTTAGATTTCCCAAGTCTTAATTCTGATAAGCAGTAGCAGTAAACTTTAATATGGAATCTATGGATCAGTAATTCCAACATCAAATCCACCTAGAATGGTTAGAATTACAAGTTATAAAAACTATTATTCCCCGTGTGCTTTTAGATGTTAAATTGTAAATATTATCCAGTGCTGGTGAAGATTGAACTCTTATTAATTTCATCTATTTTTCTTTTGAAATTGTTAATTTCCCAAATTTTATTATATTATAATTATAAATTATGTTAATAGAAATCATCTTACAGAATTCTTATACAAATGATAGAGAATGGGTACATAATTGAATGCTAAACTTGAAGATTGGAGGGTGACAATGAGCAAGACATTTGAACTTAGTTAACCCTTTAGTAGTGTCTCAAACCTGACAATTTTTTGCTTGACTTATGGGGTCTTCTTTGGTAAATTCTTTCGTGTTGAGAAGAATTGCCCTTTTTTATTTTTTAATTTAATTTTTTATTTAAATTGTGAAATAATTTTATTATTATTTAATATAAATTATTATTTATCACAAAAATATTTTAATAATTATTTATTTATTTTATAAATATTAAATATTTAAAATCTTTATTATATACAAATTTTAATATAATATCTTTAATGATACTTTTTCTTATCATTATTCAATTCACTGTCACCACTGTATTTATATGCAAACATATAATTTCATTACTAATTTTAATTTTACCATTACAATAATCAATCGTATTTTCACCATTATTTTTAATCTTATCAAAATCAATTTTATCGTTCATCTAAATTGATCATAAGAAAATAGAACCAACAAAATACATTTCTTTCCTTTAAACTTAGAATAGATAATTTCTCTTTAATATTTAGTTTCATTTTTAATGCCTTTTCTTGTAATATAACAAAGAAAAATCCTCTTATCTCTTTTTTTTTTTCCTCTTTCCTTTTTATAGAAGAGAAAGCATAGGACATCTCTAAATCATTCTACCTAAAACCCTTATAAAATTATTTTTATTTAAAAATTTCATAAACTTAGCTAAAAAATTTTCATTTAAGTTTAACACTACTCACACATTTATAATAAGAAGTCGGAAGTGAATGGGTAATTAATGATGTACGATACTATGGGTAATTTTGAATTTTTATTATACTTTAATTTCATTAAATTTTGTCACTATACTTTCAATGTGTTGACTATGGGTAATTCTAGTGATACCCTATTTAATGTTATATACATCCGTACTTTTAAATACACTCTAATTTTAAAAATTATTTTTTTATTTATACTAAATACACTTCACCCTTTACTTTCTATTTTTCATTTCTAACATTTTTCTCTTCTTCTTTCTTCACTTTCTGAAATCAAACTTCTCAAAAATGAATATTCAAGAACTTTTGAAGTTTCTCAAAAATAGATATTTGAAAATCTTTAAGAGGACATTTCATTCATGAAATCTTAGATTTTGGGAGAAATTGTGATCTTCGAGAAAGTGCGATACTCTGGATTTTTTTCTATTTTCAAGACATCTCATATTTAAATTCACTCGTTTGGTTAGAAAAATCCATATATATTAATTTCTGAATAATTATCATAATCTCCTTAATATATATGATGGCAACTTTTTATTAGTTTTTATTAATAATAAATACCTAAATGACAAATGATGCCTTTAACAGGAAAAAAAGATAAATATTTTATTTGATTGTTATTTTTATTTATAAAATATCATTAATAAAAAAATATTGTGGATTATTTAAGACGTTTTTTTTTTAGAAATGCCTTAAATAATCTATTTTTTTAAAAGGGATTATTTAAGGTATTTTTAATCCAAAAACGCCTTAAATAAATACCATTTAAAAAATATAAGAGGATTATTTAAGGCTTTTTTATCCAAAAAACCTTAAATAATCTCTAATTTTTTTAAAGGGGATTATTTAAGGCATTTTTGGTCCAAAAATGCCTTAAATAATCTTTAATATTTTTTAAAGGGGATTATTTGTGCGGGCACTTGCCTCGACCACCGTCGACACAAACGAGCCCTTGGTTGGTGCAAATTGTTACCTCGGATAGCTTTTTGGCAGGTGACGGTGTCACGAGCTCTGGTCTTAAACTAAACTCTATGTAGCCTTAGATTGGGAATGGACTCCGTATGCCTTAATCAACCTACGAAACAAGCGTGCAAGCACAAAACTAACATCGAAAGTTAGAATACGCAAGTTTAAGAATACAGGGGAATGCTGGAATGCTTTGTATATTACTAAATGGTGAATGCTTACAAATGAAAGTGGAGTGGCCCTCTATTTATAGTTAAGGCCTCAGCTCTGGTATGGTAGTTCTTAATATCAAAGGATTACATTTTTAAATTCAAAAATACAAATTACATCATGATCCTAAGGATTGACCTGGTCCCCCTCAGTTCTAGGCATGTGCTACAGATCCTAGAGGCTTATAGATGGTTTTGGGTCGACCCCACTCTCTTAGGCCCACTTAGGTGCGGTGCGGGCATATTGTAAGTATGGTCTTAGTGCTGCGGGTAGGCTTGACTATCGAGTGGGCAGTCATAATGCTTCTACCATGATTATTACGTGAACCCTGCTTCTATTTTTGATGCTCGAACCTTGGCCGCTAGGGCAATTTTTAGCTCATTGTGCACCCATGACCTTCCCACCCAAGGCACTTATCTGCCTCTCGATCATCATCGGCACCAAATGATGCTCGATGTATGTGTTACGGGCTTTGATCTTAAGCTAAACTCCGTGCAGCCTTGGATGGGGAATTGACTTTGTCTACCTAAGTCGGCTTACAAAACTCATGTGCTTAACATAATTCTAGCTTGTCAAAGATTGTGCTGCAGTACTGGGCTTTTCAAAAGCCCACAAAAAGTTAAAAATCGTCTGTGTTCAAGCATGCCCACACCTGGGTTTAACTATGTACTCATACCTTGATCATCAATGCCCGTACTTGGGTCTGACTGTGTGCCTGCGCATCGTTTATCAGCACATGCACTTAGGCTTGGCTCAATTTTACTAAACCTAAACATCATGCCTAAGCCTTTGAAGTCCTGATCACTGCTTGTACCATTATTTTAGTCTAGTTCCCTATGACCTGCGCCTCGAGTAGGCCTCAAGGCCTAGTCCTCATGGCTATCAGACCCTGTCATATTAGAACCCTTAGGCCTGGACTAGCTTACAGACCGTGACACATGCACATGCCTCGATCATTATCAAGACATATTAGCCTTTGATCTCGATACATATTTTGACCATCATCAACAGATGCTGGCTTTTTGTGCAAGTAGTCCTTGGAACACCATCGACACATGATGATCTGTGCACTACGCATGGGTACTATGGGCCCGAGCCATGCACCATACGAACCACAATCGAGCAGTAGATGATTTTAGGCACATCTTTATATTTCTGTCATGCCAATGCCATTTTTACAACTTATAAATTCATATAAGCGCTTACCAACACCCATACCTAGGCTTGGCTCAATTATGCCGAACATGAATACTGTGCCTGAGCCTCTAATAGGCCTTAAGGCCTAGTCCCCCTAGCAGTCGGACCCTGTGCTGCTAGACCCCCTAGACCTAGACTAGCTTGTGGACCATGACACATGTACATGTTTTGATCACTGTCGGGACATGTTGGCTCTTGGTCTCAACATATGCTTCGACCATCATCGGTACATACTAACCTTTTGTACGGGTAATTTCCTCAAATAACATCGATACATGCTGGGTCGCACACTACGCAAGGGTATCCTAAGCCTAGCCGTGCCCCATGCATACCATGACTAAGTAATAGGTGGGTTCAAGCACATATTCATATTTATGCCATGCCAATGCCATTTTTATGGCTTGTAAATTCATATGAATGCTCACTAGCACCTGCACCTGAGCCTAAACCATCATCAACACATGTTGGCCCTTTGTGCGAGCAATTTCCTCGAACAACATTGGCACATGCTGGGTCGCACATCATTCTCGGGTATCCTGGGCCTTGGACGCGCACCATGTGCACCACAACCAAGCAGGAGGTAGGTTCAGGCACATCTTTATATTTCTGCCATTCCAATGCCATTTTTATGGCTTGTAAGTTCATATGAGCGCTTACCAACGCTCACACCTGAGCCTAGTTCAACCATGCCTAAGCCTCTTAAGTTTTGATCACTACCCATACTATTATTATGGGCTAATTCCCCATTACTTAGCCTTCAATAAGCCTCAAAGCCCAGTCTCTCTAACTGTCAGACCCTATCCCGCTAGAACCTTTAGGCCTAAACCGACTTGCTTACTAACTGTGACACAAGCATATACCTAGACCATCATTGGCACATGCTGGCCCTTAGTCTTAGCACATGTTTTTATCACCATTGGCACAAGCTAGCCCTTTATGTGGGCAATTCCTTCAAACACTATCAACACATGTTGGGTTACGCACTACA